CAGCTGCAGCTCCTGCTCGTGCTCTTGCCGATAATGCCGAAGGGAGGCAGGGGCTGCAGCTGCAGCTCCTGCTTGTGCTCTTGCCAATAATGCCGCAGGGAGGCAGGGGCTGCAGCTGCAGCTCCTGCTCAAGCTGGCATGGGAACAGGCCATAAATAGCCTGTTCCGAAACCCAGTTTTCGTGCCTGAATCTTAGGGCAGGTCGAAACAAATGAGGGCCTAAAAATAGCCCAGGGCCTAAGAATAGCCCTCCGTTTCAGGCTGGAAAAACTCTGGGTCTGAAAGACCCAGAAATAGGCTGAAACGGAGTAGGGCCTGCAGGCCCTCGTTTTTCAGTTTTCAGGCTGAAACGACCGGGGCCTGTAGCTCCTAAGTTTTAGGCTTTTAGGCTGAATGTCCGGGACGGGTCCTGCAGGGCCCGTGTGGCTACGCAGTCTGCCACAGAGGCACTGGAGTGAGTTAAAAATAAAAATAAAAATAAAATGGGGGGGGGCGGCCTAGCTCAGTTCATACAGCACGAAAATGGCATTCAGGAGGCTGTGGGTTCGATTCCCCACGGTCTTCATTCAAGCCCCCACCGCCTCCTGCGGCTTGCTGCGGGTTCACCAGTTGGGTTAGTTGGCTTGCCCCCCCTTTGTAGGGCTTGGTAGGGTTTTCCTTCCCCTCCCATCCATTGCCCGGGGTTAGGAAGAAGCTGCGGTGCTTAGACACGGGAGGAGGTCGGTGCCAACCCATACCCATAACTCTTACAGCGCCCCAGCATCACAAATGGTTAACGGGGACCCCCCAGTTTCAGGCCCAACTGAAATTAGGGTTTCGGCCCTTCGGGTCAAATTTTCCGTTTTTTTTTTTTTTTTTTTTTTGGCCTGTTCTTGTTTTGGTTCAAGGTTGCTGTGTGCCAAATTTTGAGTCATTTTGAGAATTGGAATTTCCACTGTTAAGATTTCTGAAATGTATCAAGATTTCTGAAATTGAAATGTTGGCGAAATTTCATGAAACTGTTTTATATGTTTTTTATTATATTTTTTCGGAATTTTTTTTGCAGTTAGTTAGTATGGTCTCCACTCTATGAATTGCTGGCAAGCTTGATTAAAATGACCCTTTGGTTTTCTTATAAATGGCATGGCAAGTGGTCTGAAAATTACGGTCTCCGTTAACCTTCTCTCCCTAATGCTCGCCACAAAACACATCTGTGACGCCACCAGAATCTATACAACTTCACAAATATTACTCACGTTCAACCATCATCATAACTCCACCAGAGTCGGTACTAAGTTCATACTACTTCATAGTCATAACGGGGACGTAACAATGAAGGCATCGATTTTTCTGTATAATCGTTTATGTCCACCACCCCTATGTCGGCTAGTAATGATGCCTTGATTGTTACGTCCTTTTTTAGAAATTTTTCCAGAAGTTAAAGATTTTTCAGGTTTGAGATAACTAAGATTTTTTTAATCAGAAACTGATCTGTTTCGTGTTCCTGGTGTGTAGGCTTTATAGCGGGCCCGTCAGTTTACACAATACTGCGTCAAGGCCGTCGCCCTTTCTAGAAAAAAAAAAAAAAAAAGGTTGTGAACTTGCACGGGGTATGCGATCAATTCATCGTTGTCTACCTCGATGATACATTATAAGTTATAACACAATTGTGCAAGGAAAATGAGCAATAGTGAGATGACAAAATCCAGATTGCACAATCACATTGAAAGCCAGAAAGTATCAGTGTCCAGAAAGCAGCATTGCACCAATATAACACCAATGGAGAATCGTAACACTGAAAACCGAATGTCAATGAGAGCTTGCTCTCGCCACCACCAACATAAGTGTCCAGGCCCTTCTCCCTACTTGGCGCTCGGCGCCAAGCTTACTCCCTACACAGCTACTATCTGCCTACTAATTGACAATGCAACTGTTGACGTCAGCAGCCAACGAAGTACTTGAAGATGTTGACCAATGCAGACCATCGCCAATACCAGGTATGTGCCCTCACATCATCATCATCATCATCCTTCTCTCTCTCCCTCGACTTTCACCCACGTCTTCCCTCTGTACACCTGAAGACCACCCTGCGCCTTGCTGTACAACCAAGCCCCAGCCAGCTATGAAGGTGGGGCTATGGCGCTGCCCTCAGCAGCACCCTTCCTCGTACACGACCACACGTGTGCAGGACCTTGCCTTAGCGCAAGCAGCAGCCCGCAAGACTCTGCTCCAGCAGCGCTGCCGCTAGCTTGCAAGTGCCCGAATGCGCAGCCAGGCAGCGAGCTCTTTCCTATATGGAAAGAGTCAGGCCTGGCCCGCGGCCTGGTTGGGCTGGGCCAGCGCCCAGAAGCTTCCAGTAGGCCCCAGGAGGCTGGGCCTCTGCTGCTGCGGCTGGGCCTCGTTCAGTTACGCCTCCCAACTGTCTGTGTATGTTGCTGCGAATACGGCCCAGGGCCTGCACTTCAGAAGGCCGAAGAAAATCTTTGTTGCTTGGGACCTGGGTTCCCTCAACCAACTGACGCGACACAACTGCCTGTATCCCGAATACTATTTTGACAGCATTGGGCCACTCGTGAATTGTTAGGCCCGCCTTCACTTAGGGCGGCCACACTTGCATCAGGAATGCTCTTCGAAAACTCCAAGAGGTCTCATTAGAAATTACACCACACCACCAGTACCGGTGCCCTTCCTCCAAAGCTTGTAGCCGTTTACGCAGAGCCCACACTTTCAATGGGGACTGGTCTGCCTGTTGCCAGTTTGATATGAACTCGATGGGAAAATTTTATCCGGGAGAAAATTGTCTATCCAGGACTGGTAGTTTAAGTCAGTCGAACTGAGGATCACCTGCAAGGACCGTTGGCCTTCTGACGTGTGCATCCTTCCGGATTCAGAGTTTTCACTTGCGCATTGGGTCCTCCACGACAGTAAAGCCTCACATAATGTGATATGCGATCATAAGGGGAGAGGTGGAGGGGGTAGGGGGTAGGGGGAAGCAGGAAGGGAATAAAGACAGCACAAAAGGAGGTGCTTATTTATCAACTACTTTGGCCAGTCCTTCAGGACCGATATGAAAAGTAGATAGGTGCTTCATTGGATCCAGTACAGATAATATTTTTTTTGGTTAACCTTCCCATATTTTAGCACTAGGGACAGAGACCATCCCAGTTTTGGTCAATTCATGAGGTTCACAATACTTATACCAACTTAATCTATTATTTTCTTTTGTTTCATTTATTTCATTTCTTTAGCCCTTGAACTGAGAGGAATCAATTTTGGGTCGATTTTTTTACTCGTAGTCAATTCATGAGGTTCACAATACTAAGAATACTTATACCCACTTAAACTAACTTTATAACAATCCTTCTCTCTATATTTTACATAGGTTTCTTTCGCTACCCGGCCCATTATTTTGTTTCTTTGTGCTACGTCGCAGGTTCATCGTCTGTTCTTGTCCGTATTTTCAAAGTATTCTTTCGACTGGGCGTGTTCTGTCCGGTCAAACCACCAGTACTTCCTAGAGTCCTGCCCGTTAACGTGCCACGATTTTAGGAAACGTATGGGCTACTACAGGAGCGCCCAAATTCATCCGACTAGAAATGTTTCTACTCTATTTTTTCCGCGGCCGATAGCTGGGCCAAGTACTGGTGGTTTAAGTTTCGGCAGAGGTCACTGGAGTGAACCCCTGGGAATAAGAAGGTGACTACCGTCTTCCCCCGAATAGAACGTACGGTCGTTATAACTGCATTTGGGGCAACTTTCAGTCTAGATACGTTGATAATGACCATATGTCTGGGTTGGATCCCAGCCGACCGCTGACACCAACCGCAGAACGTTTTGCAGCCTGCTGGTAGGGCTGACCGGTCGGCCGTCTGCCGACCAGTCATTAGAGAGCCATCCACTGATTTTTTTCTTAAATCTGACTTCGGGCCTGTACTGCGCTTGCTGAGCACAGCCCAAATCCGCTGAGAAACTTCTGGCAAGAGGGGGGGGGGGGGGGAGGTATGGGCTGTCTCTTATACACATCTAGATGTGTATAAGAGACAGCCCTTCTCCCTACTTGGTGCGCCCCGCTTACTCCCTACACAGCTACTATCTGCCTACTAATTGACAATGCAACTGTTGACGTCAGCAGCCAACGAAGTACTTGAAGATGTTGACCAATGCAGAC